TTTATTCAAGAAATGTTCTAAATACTAGTAGATAAGTTTAAAAAATTCAATTAAGATTGTTAAATTAAAATAAATTTTTATAATATTTTTTAAAGGGAAATAAATATTTTAAAGTAAATTTTGGGTACATATTAATGAGTCTTTTTTAATCTATAATATATAAATATATATATTTTTTTTAAGATTACTACCAAGAAAATATTCTTAAAAATAACCGTTTTCAGTACATATTAATGAGCTTTTTTAATTTTTAATATAAATATATTTTAAGATTACCGCCAAGAAAATATTCTTGAAGATAACCGTTTCTTAAAAGGAAGAGTGCAAATTGAATAATACTGTTAAATATAACTATAGCAAATAATGACTTCTTACAAGAATATCACACTAGCATCAAATTTAGTCAAAAAATGTTCTAAATACTAGTAAGTTTAAAAAATTCAATTAAGATTGTTAAATTAAAACAAATTTTTATAATATTCTTTAAAGGAAATAAATATTTTAAAGTAAATTTTGGGTACATATTAATGAGTTTTTTAATCTATAATATAAATATATTTTAAGATTACTACCAAGAAAATATTCTTAAAGATAACCGTTTTCAGTACATATTAATGAGTTTTTTTAATCGACAATATAATATAAATATATTTTAAGATTACTACACCAAGAAAATATTCTTAAAAATAACCGTTTTCAGTACATATTAATGAGTTTTTTTAATCTATAATATAAATATATTTTAAGATTACTACACCAAGAAAATATTCTTAAAGATAACCGTTTCTTAAGGAAGAGTGCAAATTGAATAATACTGTTAAATATAACTATAGTGTCAAATTAACTCAACGTGAGTCGCCATTGTTCCTACTGAATACATCGTTATTGTCACGTTAGTGTAAATTTGATATCATAGATCAGTGAACAATACTTTTTTTTTTTAGCAAACGTGACATTTTCCAATATTAGTGTAATCATATTTTCTTTCCGTCGGCAATTTTGGTCTTTTCACTATTTCTGGGCTTCCAAAAAATTTAGAGTTATTTTTCAACGTCTCTATGTTTACAGATAAATTTTTAACTTAAACATTAAAATCTGCATTTAATAAGAATTAAAATTTGAGAGTGAAATTTGAGAGTAAAATTTGGCTTATGCGAAAAAAGATTGCAGACACGGGGTTAATAAGAGAGAGCATACGTTAGTAGGAGAGAAATTATGTATGTAATGAGATGGCGACGCGTGTGACATTAATAATCGCACGAGTCTAAAGCTCCATTCTGGACAACGTGTGTAATTTGTATCTGAATTATTATTAATTAATTTAGAAGAGACAATTCTGTTTATAACTTTGTGTGCCGAGTAATTATGTGAAAGTCGCAAAATTGCGCGATAAAACGCGTATAAATGGAATTCTATGTTCTCCGGAAGTCTGACGTCGAATAATAGATCGTCTAAGGAAGACTTCAAGGATTCCGTGAAGTAACTTTCAAAATTTCACGTCGCGTTAAATATGTGAATAAAAAAAAAAAAAAAAAAAAAAAAAGAAGAAGAAGAAAGGAGACGCGAAACTATTTATCGCGGTGTAGCGCGGGACATTTCTTTATAGAACCGTCTCCTGCATAATTGCCGAAGTTTAAGAGATATCGGGAGGTCCGTGGAAAAGCGCTATAGAAAATCCATGGCATTAAAGCGCGCGAAACTTGGGCCCCGCAGTTCTCTCCGGGCGTATAAGCTAGACAGCCGTGGAGGATGGGAAAGCGCGGGATGAAGGAGGAGGAAGCGCCTCCCCGGCGCTCCTCCTTCGCGCGAACGTCATTACTTATTCCCGCGTAGCGCGCGGAACCTCTGGTGACGACAGATTTATCGGGTGAAAAATTCACGGGGGAAGGGAACAAGGCGACGTCGTCGTCGCGCGCGGTGTCTTCGGTTTCGGACTGCCAAATGGGAAAACGTTGTTCCTGTTGCGGCGAGATTGCCCCGACCGAGGGACGTCAGTCCGGTCCGAGAGGCGCGAGAAGGTGCAAATAAATCGACGTGACCGACATCTCCCATCTTCCTCGAAAGAAAAAAAGAAAAAAAAAAAGACAAAGACTGCTGTTTGCGGAAGCCGCGAATAATTTAGACGGGAGGTACTCTTTTCTTTTTAAATTTTTTTCCTCCCCTTATATATTCGCGATACTCTCGCGAACGACGCGGCGATTCAGAGGCGGCCACTGCAAAGTAGACGGGAATCGATTTTTATGCGAGAGCAGAGGCTACGAAAATTAACTACTTTTCCTCCGCGAACCGCATCGGCCGTTCTTAAGCGGTACCGGGTTATGTAAATAAAATATGCGGTGAACGTTTTTGTTTTTATTTATCGAAACAAGTACCTCGATGAATATAAAAAGCACACGTGCTTTTAAGGGATAAACGGTACATCTAACGTGTTCTACCGTGGGACGCATTTATTATTTTTCTAACAACAATGAGATTTTTAACGTCGACTGTTCGCAGTTATATTACTTTTCAACTAAATTAGTTACTGGGCTGCCAGCATTAAAAATCTCGTTACTGTTAACAAAAAAGTAATGATTACATATTAATCCCAAGGTGCATGTCTCTTGGTACCGCAGCCTCTCTCTCTTATTTATTTCCATAACACTCTTTGTACAAAAGATTTATCCGCGTTGCTTTGAACGCGAACGTTTTTGCATTTAAAACGAGATAAATATATATTTGGGTATTGAAGTGAGGGAGAAAGCGGAAATTTTCTGAATGCGAAAAATGCAAGCAACGCGAACAGAACTAAAATATTGCAGAAGATATGGATGAATAAAGGAATTATAATTCTAGAGATGTACGTCCGATCGTTCGATAATATTACAAGAAAATTTCAAAATACCACAGACCAATATTTTTATTTCAAAATATATAGATGTAGGATTTAACGTTATGCAATGTTTATATAATTCTTACCATATTGGGGTATTAATACTCCAGAATCAACACCAGAGTACGTCTTAATAGGGGTGTGGATTTAAAACCTACGGTGTTTATCTTAACGCCGAAATACGGTATATATTTAAGATTTGGATGGTGGATTTAAATCCATATCGGTCTTCATATCGATTAACACGGTAAGAATTTGTATAAAAATATCTCGTAGTGTTAAATCCACTCACGTACTTAAAAAATTGTTAAAGTAAAAAAGGGAAGAGATCGCGCGTTAATGCGAGTTGCAGCACTTTTTCGCATTTTGCATCTCCGGACAGACGTTTCTATGTACGTTTTGCGAATATAAAGAGTACTTCCTTCCGGTCGCCCTCGCTATTATTCAGCGACCGAATATTCGCAGATATAGAGAGTGCATTTGATAATATTTTCCCAGGGCACGTCGAGGCGTCGATTTTTTATTTAAGCATATCCGGCGGCGCGTTTCTATGCCGGAACGTCTCGATGGGCTTTCTTTTCCTATCCCGACATCCGCAACGATTGTGTTCGGGAAGCATGACGAGCCGGATGGCAGGCTCGAGATCGCCACCACCGAAGGTGGGTATATATCGTCGTTAAGAGAGGTAGACACGTCGAATCTGCGATTTCGATCGTGACGGGGTCTTAATGGACGCCCCGTGACTAACCCGTCCTTTACCTCGCGCTGTCAAAGTCGTTGACACCGGAGGAGCCGAGATCATTGATCGCGCGTCGTTTGCACATACGAGAACTGCTCGAAGAGGAAGCTGAAGGATGTTTCGGGAGGAAAGATCAATACTTGGCGTGGCGGACCAATGGGTATAGACGCGGAGGTAAAAAGAAAAAGAACCGGGAAAGGAATGAAAAACGTACCAAGTAAGCGAAAGGAAGAGAATCGATACGTAAATTGCGATACCATACAGTTCCTGACCGTTTCTGTGTTACGATCACTATAACGGTATATGCGACGTCCATGTCGAAGGGAGCGCGTTAATTTAAGGGGCACGAATAGGAGCGATATGAATCATTTTGCCGCAGCGCTCTTATATCACGTCCGTTCCCGGTGTTTTATTTTCTTCGCTTGTATACGTCAAAACGCGTTCGGAAACGACGTGCGAAAGATTATCAAACGTAAAATTCCATTGATCTCCATTGACGACTCGGTTCGAGATATACGGACATATTCGCTGATCCAGCGACCGTCGGCTTCGTGCAGTCTTTGATTCATCGATCAGAGAGGTAATCCAATAATCTCGAGTGACTATAGGGGATTATATTCGCCCCGTTCCCGCATGGGAAACGCGCGGTAGGCAAACCGAGACTCACTCGTCGGCCGCAGTCAATTACATGAATTACTTACCCGCGAGTTACTTTAATTAAGCGTTTAATTCCTCGCTTAATCTCGCGGGAAGCCGCGTCATGTCTCGTGACCCTTTTGTAAAAGTTAACGTTTCGACAGGCACTATATGGATCGCCCCGCGCGATAAAACGCATTTGGAGAAAAGAGAGAGAGGATCCGAAGCGGAGAATATTACACGCTGAATACTTGAACGCGTCTCGGCAACGGAATTTGTGCGCTCTTTATTTAATGAAGTGTCCGATTTACATCGCGTCTAAGCTTCTTAAAGAGAGGATGAAAACCGTACAATTTAATTCAATTGATTCGAATTTCAGCTTGAATCGAGATTTAGGTCATTCGTTTAAGAATTTGCTTATTGCCGCGTTCATCAGAAGCGCGGCTATGCTCCTGGAAGGGACAAATTAATAAGGAAACTTAAATATATATGTATAAGAGAGAAAATTAGAATCTTGACGCCCCGGTATACGTTGGCAGTATGTTCACGACAATTTACGATGCATTTTGTATAATAGCGCGGGAGAGAGAGAGAGAGAAAGAGAGAGAGAGAGGGAGGGAGGGAGAGAGGTAAACCGCAAGTTGTCCCAAGTTTTACTACTGGCCGTTTTATCACTGGTTGATAGACTGTATGAAAGGCCCGACAGCAGAGAGGAAGAGATACTTTAAAGAGAGGGACTAGCCGTTTGAAAATTTATGTTCCCTTTACCGAGAATTTTTAATGTTCACCAGAGATTTGTTGCCCGTGAATAAATGTGAAAATTCTGTTAAAGCGCAATAAAACGAAGCGCTTTTTACCGTTTATGCATGCTGCAAAAATGGAATCGCATAAAACTATCGCTTTTTTGCGCGCGGCTAATACGGCCCTCGTGATGAAAAATGCAAAGATGTGGAATTTTTGACAAGAAAAAAATCGGCTTGGAAATCGTCACAGATATACCCAAGGTAGAGTTCTCGATATAGGTTCGAAAAATGCGTTTCCACGCGCGCGAATAAAACGAAGGTCGTTCGTTTTCGCGACTCTCACGTTCCCCAGGACGATTTATTTTACTCCAGCCACGTTCGTCTCGTTGACATCGCATCGCATCGCCATGCGGCCGGTGGTCCTGTCCTATACGGTAAAAATTTTTGCGACGGTACGCCAGAGACGTCACGACGTGGCCGTATATTATATTGCCGCGGAATTATTCAATTTTAATCCCGCGTCACACACACACCGTGCCTGCGCGACCGCGGGATCCCCCACGTGCTTGACACACGTCTTTCCCTCTTTCTCGTGGCGGGACTTACTGCCGGAGTACGTGCATTGTCAGGATGTACGGTACTTATTGTGTCGTACGATCGTGCGATACTCATGGAATGCACGTGGAAGCACAATAGAAAATTTTAATTTTCTAATCGCAAACCGTGATTTATAGTACTGAAACATTTATTTAAAAGCAATATTTCTAAATACAATTATATGCAAGTATTGATGTATGCGTAGAATAGAGTGAGGAGGAACTTAGGCCGAAATCAGACTCTGCATTGAAAATTGAGATTGAAGATTAAAAATTGAAATTCGACCAATGAGGATAATAAAGGAATTTTAGCTCCTATTATTTTGATTAGTCGAAATTGAATCTTTCAATCTTTAATCTTAATCTTCAATGCGTAGTTCGATTCGGGCCTTAAGGGGTTAGTCCATCCTGAAACTTTCAGAAAATCGAACAAGTTTTTGTCGTTTAAATCGATTTGTGGTCTTAAAAATGTAAAATTTTTAATCCGAACGCGAAATTTCAAATATTAATAAAGATACAGTCGATTATGTCGTATTGTCTTATATACAAAATAACGTTGACTTGAAACTTTAATCTGGCTTTTTTCAAAAACGGTGGATACCAAAATTACTATGTTTGGTTTTTGCGATAACTTATATACATTTTTAGTAATCCATATTTTTATGTCGAATTTTCACGTGAAAATTGAATATCTTTTTTTTAGGAATTTTCACCATTTTCACATTTTTCAATATTTTTTAATTCTGCCAGATATTTCTCTAACAAATTTCACAGCAGATTACAAATAATTTTTTTTTTTTGGCTAAAACATACTTTGGATCTATTCTGCTATCCATCTCGGATGCATTCGTTATTTAAGCAAGGCCTCCAAAAAACGTGCTGCAGCGCCGCCATTCTTTTTTTATAATTATTGACGAATTAACAATTTTGTACACCAAAGTACGAGCAACAAATGTTTATAAAAAGATTTTTTGTATTATGTATAGTTTTTTAATTATTACCTCTCAAAATAAGGTACGACTTTAAGGCCTCCAAAGTGGACTAACCTCTTAAGGAAAAAGCTAAATGACGCTATCGATTATTTGTCGCGCGATTAATAAAAATCTTTATTTAAAAAATTCTCCAATTATTTGGCTTAAAACTACGATAATCAACATTATTGTTTATATTGTCTATATATTATCAATGTGTAATTATAATTTTATTAAATAAAATACAAAATCTTTACTGTTTGAAATTAGGTATCGTTGCCATGCAAGGAGGTTTGCTGAATCGGTTTTGGTTCTTGTTTAAAATTACACTTACATTAATAATATATAAATGCTAATTATATTCTAGTTTAAGCTAATATCCTTTGAATAAAGACTTTCGTAATTAATAAATATAACCTCGGCTTTAACTTTTTCTTTAACTATTCGCAACTCCCTATTCCCTCCTTATACATTAAAACCATCGAAAACATATAATAATATTTATCTTAAATAGCGAGTGCATTCTACAGTCACTTCTTATACTACTACATTAATTGTAAGAAACCAACAAAAAAGAACGATCCCAGGATCAGGCTAATGAGAGTTACCATGGTTGTTGATATGTGAATTGAATTCCATTTATTAATAATATGTGAACGTTTCGACTCTACTTTGGAGAGTCATCCTCAGCATACAAAATTTCCTCTTAATATATTTGAAAAGAGTCACATTCAAATTGACAGATCTGATGTGCGATCTCAAACATCAAAGCGCTTCATAACAAAATTCAATTTTAGATCAAAATCATAAAAAACCAAAAAATCATTACTAAAGTAAGTGTATCTCGGATGACACTATTATTTGAATTGTCAATTGGATGTGAGGAATGAAAGATTATCACTTCTCTAGTATACATCGCAATAATGTCGTCCGCGTTGCAATTCTCTCAGTTTCTCTCACATACTTATTATACGTACAATAAATAATACATAAAACTTAATATACGTTTAATCTGACTGAATATCGCTGGACTGGACTTTCGGAAAATGTGGGAGATTTAATGGCACGTGAAATTTCCGTCCAAAAGTGCCAATTCAGCGTGCCGTCGTAGCTTCTAGTGTTTATAGCTTATGCATTTGTGATAAGCGATCGTAAAGCCTGTTTTCCTTGCTTTCAGGGATCCTCGGCGATTGTCCTGCGGTGCGGCCACCGCAGTGGGGAACCGTCCGGGAGAGCGTTCTCGAGGACGGTACTCTGCAGATTGTGTTCTCGTGCGAGGCCGGCCGTATGCTGAGGGGTCGCAAGATAGCGACTTGTACCGCTGACGGTTGGGATCGACCCGTCCCGAAATGCGTGCCCAGTAAGATATCGCTTCTGCTTTAAACGAACCGGCGTCGTGAAGTCGTTACGTGAGAACGCAAGTCTCAAAAGTTCAAGCAGTCTCTCGTCGGGATTAATCGGGCGCGGAATCTACGACGTATATCAATCTCCATCCCGCGTTCCACGTCGACCGTTATACTTTTACTCAATTGACATTCGTCCGTTCGCGGAACGTATTTGTTTCGCTTCTTCAGCTTAACAGCGATTAATCGTCACCTCGATGATTTATTCGTTCAGTCGATCCGAATATATTTGTGCGTCACGTCCTCAATAATTACAGTATATAAATAGTATTATTGAGAAATGGGACTTCAGTTTAAACAATTCTGCGCGCCAATTTATATTGTTTATCAACGATTTATGTTTATATATATATATATATATATTGTACAGACAACTTAATTAACACCATTTGCAAATCACGCGTCCATTCCGGACATACAATATTTACGTTAAGAAGTATTTTGAATTAATATCTCAAATTGGAATCGGAGTAAATTAACGATTTGTGCGTATCACAACGTATCGCATGATGTCCCCGCGATGTCCATAGCTATGCGGCATTATACTAATTTGATCGACGTAAGTCAATTATCCACATGAAAGGCGAGCTTAACTCCTCGTGCCTGGCTCGGATGAAGCCTCGTCGCGCGCGTTCAATAGAACTGACGGACAAATCCGTTTACTGCGAGACATCGTGCTGTCGAAATAAAGGGACTCGCAGCGTCAAACTCGCTCTTAATATCGTAACGCAAATCAAGCTTTTGCTTAGTCAATCGGACACCCCCCCCGGACTCATGATCGACAGACGGAGATTGCTGGATATGATGATTAAACTCGCTTCCTTTCATTGTTCACTTTGATCGCAACGTACGATTCAGAGATAAATTTCATCTTAGTGTATATCTACACTAAAAAGCATTATTTTCCATTTCTTGACACAGTTATGTATAATTTCTACAGTCAGATACCTAATTATTCAAAAGTGTGAATACAAGAAGGGTTATGTTCTGTGAAATTAAACGCTGTTAAATTAAACGCTCCATATCGTTCGATTAGATTCGATCCGCGTTAAGTCGTAATCACACACTAAAAATGTTTTAAGGGGGGGGGGGGGGGGTAAGGTTAATTCGATGAAAAAAAAGCATATATTCATGAATTTTTTTATAAGCTATGGTTAGTTCCAGTGTATTTGGGTAATTTTATTTTAATAATACAATGTTTGAAGAATATTTCGTGAAAATTTGAACGAAAAATATGGAGAAACAATTGGCACGCAATTTTCGGAGGCGCCTCGAAAAAAGGGTGTCTTGCGGTGCGATAACTCGTTACTGGATCATCTGATGTTAAAAAACCAAAATTTTTTAGTTAGTTAATAAGTTTCTCAAGGTAACGCTGTCGATTTTTTTTTTAATCGATTTTTAAATTTTTGGTAACACTTGGAAGTCAAAAATCGATTTTTGCTATAAAAAATCGGTAAATTTGTTATTGTAAAATAAATAATAATTACTAAAAAAAAAAAATAAAAACTCGACAGCGTTACCTTGTGATTTATGTGTAGAAAGAGTGTACCAAATTTTAAAACGATCGGTGCAGTAGATTTTGAGTTACAGTGTGCACCGACTTGGAAAATGCTAAGTGTGACAAAAACGCTTTAAAGTTTTGTACAGTAGAAATGACCGAGTGTTTTGTCTATACTTACACAGAGTCATCGATGTATCTTGTATATTATTTACTCTGCACACTGCTTCTTTCTCTTCGTTTACAGCAGAAGAAAAAAAGTTATTCGCACACGAAACAGCTGCTAGGCAACCGCTTCGCCCAGCTGCTGGGCAGGTATACGAAATCGAGTCGGAGCAACGGACACTTAAAATTCCATATCTCCGTTAATTTTGCTCCGATCGGCTACAAATTTTCACACAATAATCTTGAGACATTGTACATTCAGATAAAAAAAAAAATTTTTAAAAAATGGTTAAAAAAAAGTTAAAATACCTCCCCCCCCCCCCTCCCCCCTTAAGTATAGTTCCAATTCTATCTTAGATTAAAGTCGTAATCACACTATAGTGATTGTGCGATTGTGACTGACAATTAAGGATTACTTTTCAACCAGTTAGAGGAAAGCAATCAGTGACTACTTTGCTCTGATTGGTTGAAAAGTAATCCTCAATTGTCAATCACGATCGCTAGTGTGATTACGGCTTTAATCTAAGCTAGAATCGGGGAACATATACTTAAAACATTTTTATGAAAAAGGCGGCCGCGCGAGAGGAGGGGAGAGATATGTCGGAAGGGACCTGAAAGTTTCGAAGAACAATTTACCCAAGACGCCCATTCCTATGATTTGTGGAAACACGACTTTACCGTAGGATTCAATTTTCACCGATGCTCAAGTTATCGGCATATCTTAAGCCGGGGGTTGGCATTGCTCCCAAGACTGGTGCAAATATATAGGGTGTCTTCCGTTCTTTGCACTCTCAGAATCGGTGAACTTTTGTAATTAAGAAAAAAGAAAGGGAGAAAATACGGTGGAGGCAGCGACCGGATTGTTAATTTAAGCCTGTATAATAACCATCGTCGTATTATTCGCATCAAATAACTGCGAAGATTTTATCTTCATTATTCACACGTGCTGTTTATACCTGTCATCACGAATCGACGATATCGATGACTGTCGAAACTAATATCTGGCCGTATCCCCTCGATGACGTATCCCTTTAGCGACCAGAAGCGGCGTGGACGGAATTCCTGGATGGGGAAAATTCGCGGGGTAGCGTTTCGGTGCTTCAGGAACGCTCCTCGTTCCATCGCGTCTGGCTATATCGGCGGCACGAGATTCGCCGACATAACATAGCTCGCATTCGCCTCGATGGAGATAAGCCGCCAAGTCATACACCCGCCCGGACGTTACAAGCATACGTCCCCCCACCTTCCTGTCTCCCTTTGGATTGAGGCTTTGATCGGGATGCGCCGCTTGTGTGCTTGTCGAGAGGAGCTTACCCGAGTCAGTAGCTTGCGTTCATCAATGATTAGGCGCGCGTAAATTATTTGAGAATACCGTCCAACGCGAGAAATCTCTATAAGAGTTCGGATAGTATGATTATATATAACGAAAAGCTGGCGGGTCGTCGAAAGTTCGAATTTATGAATAACAAATTAAAAATAATTATCGTGAAAACTGTCAGAAAGGAAACATTTTTTAAGGAAGGATGTAATATTTGATATTCTTTTTTATATGCACTACTTGGTGTATATATTTTCTTTTTTCTCAAAGAGGTTTTTTTTATTAGAGATAGTAAATGTCTTCTCTCGTTTCTGGGTTGTATGGAAGTGTAGATTTTTATGGAAGATAATCTTGGCGGATTTACAAATGAGTGTGAATAGCGCGTACTCGACTGCTTTACGCGTTACTTAGCTGATGCGGGTATTATGCGTGTAAAAAATACATGATAACATTCCCGTGCGCGATAAAAGGCGGTAAAAGTATCCTGTCTCCATGTTGGATCACCGTACGTATATCCAATGAGATTAATCCCCTCTGTGATGTAAAGCTAACGCCGGAATATCTCTAGAAACATTTTTACTCGGTAAAACGAATATTCTATTTAAAGTCCATTCGGCGGACATGTATGAGTGTGCGACGAGAATTTAATTAAAATTCCTTTAATTATAATTGCAAAATGGATTTTATTTGTGCTAGCACAATAAATGTGCAAGGCGCTAATGATTTTGGCGGTGAACGAATATTTACGTTTATTATTCGTTAACAATTTGCAGCAATTACATTATTCTATTCGCGAAATAGGAGGTACTTAGCTGTGACGTTACGTTATGTTTCTGTGTAGATATTATAACGCAACGTTTCCGTCATGAACTTTACGTCGGCGATGAACCAATCGCTCCGGACAGGAGCAAGGTACAAATCGCGAGGGATCGTCTTAAGGCGCTAGAGAGGATAGACGATTTAAAAAAGCAGAGAAAAACAAAGGAGGGCAAGAAGAGGAAAAAGAAAAGGAAGAGGCCGGTGAAATCCTCGTCAAGACTACCTACGGCAACAAGATTAAATGAAACCGTAGTGTCCCAACTAGACATCAGCTGTGCTGCGAAGAAAATCCTCAGAAAGGGACTCATCAAGGCCCCTTCGATCGAGCATGCTCGACCCGCCAAATACGCCAGGTTTGTTGTTGCACAAACAAGCTGTAAAACAACTCTGAAATAACGAAGAGCTTTATCTTGTGCTTAAAAAGTAACAGGAAATTAACGTCAACTTTCTTCAATTAAGTGTGTTTACATATATACATTTTGTTACGTATATTTATGTCTATTTATAGACTCTATATACAAATAATTATGTAACTAATTTGAAAAGTAATTAGTTATGACTACGAGAAGAAACGTAATAGCTAAAAAAAAAATAGAACAACTCTAAATTGGTTTTAATTTCCTGTTGCTTTCTTTTCTTTCACGAGCTTTAACAAGATTATTTTCTTTAACATTCTAAAATCCATTTAGAATTCCTTCAAATTCCGACTGTCTCAACCATCTGCATCCAAAACTGTTTTCATAAATGAGCCGAGTATTTTATTCCCAATTTTATCCGCTGGTCTATCATGAATCAAAGAATTTTTTATTACTTGGAGAAATTTACAGAGACTTTAAAAATATAGCTCGCCGATTATAATTGCACCGTTTCGAATGCTTGAAGAATTATACGATAGGCTACCGCGACGCAGTATATCGAGTTCAACTCGACGTAGGACCGTGAAAGGTTAATATATGTACATACCTATAATAGGATGTGTATTGTCCTATAGAAGAAAGAACATACTGCCGCCGTACAATCGATATCTGGTTGCGGTTTACGAGTGCGCGGATGGTTACGTCTTCGTGGATTCGACGACGGACAGGCTTTTTTGCAGTAACGGCACCTGGCTGGGACGTCGTCCGAGATGCGTGAGGGACAATCGTAAGCCACGAATAAAAATATTATCACTGCTCAGTATTACAATCATAATGTACACGTTAATTATTCTTTGTGTATAAATAAGTTTCCGCCGTTTTTTCATCAAAAATTGAGCATTTATTGTGAAAGAACGGTATCTAATGTTTTATTCGAAGTATTGTCCATCGCTAGCCACTACTCTTTCCCATTTTTCTGGTAATTGGTGGATTCCACGTCGAAAAAACAAGAAACGTCGAATCTATACGTTCTTTGTCTTCGACGTCAAATTCACCGTTCTTAAACTTTTGAAACCACTCAACTTCTCTCACATAAGAGAGAACTCACCATATGCTTCTACAAGCAATCGATGCTCCTCAGCTGCAGATTTTTTCAAATTATAGAAGTAAATCAAAAGCTCCCGCAAATGACGCTTATTTGGCTCAAAAATTTCGACATTTTCACACGAAAAAAGATACAAAATCGCTAATATTTCAAGGTTATGTTGTTGCCAGATGTCCAACCTTACGATATGACGTTTTACAGCAGACAATTTTAACCATATAACATACTGTTGGCGCCATCTTTTGTCAAACGGCGGAAACTTATTTATACTCCTAATAATTTTAATATTTGCAAATTTTTCTCCATTATAATATTATCAAGCACCGAGATCATAGTCGCATCGGAAACAGGATTCTTTCTCTCGTTAAATTAAATCTATTATGTAAAAATCCGCTTGCACACGCGTGTGCACGCAGTTGTTGCGAAATGTGTTTTGCTGTAGCAGAAACCCCAACGGATAAGGTGAAACGCTGCGATCAGGGAACGGGCGAATGCGAACACGTGTGTGAGGATACGCCAAGCGGCATAAAGTGCTCCTGCTTCGACGGCTTTCGAGCTAAAGGACCGTCCTGTATCGGTAATCCATACAGCCACATATAAATTCACAACTGCATATTTCACATTTTTATATCTTTTGAGGAAAAGTCAAACTCACGCGCGCACTCTCTCTCTCTCTCTCTCTCTCTCTCTTCCTCTTTCTCTTTTACTCGACATGTGATATTTTCGTCGATATTTCCCCACGAAATTCGCGTACCATCTTCGTATTGACTACCAGCTCCTATCGATTCGTTATATTACCTGTTTTCGACATGCCGGTTTTTCATCTGTTGCACTTTATATTCGCAAATTTATAGAAACCACGAATGCACGCGCGAATAATCCATGTTGTCGGGGTGAAAATAATTTTAGCTAGAGATATACGTATGTATGTGTATATATATATATATATATATACGAGCAGTAATTTTAGCGCTCTCGAAAACATATATCCGCCGTAAACCACCACCGTCTTAATAATGGGATTATCGGTTTTCGAGTGTATCGGATTATTTAAGAGTCGGATTGCGCATATTGTTGCACAATATCGGCGCGATATCGAGTTTAAAAGCTGTTATCGATTCGGACATTTCTCGGCGTTTACCAGTTTTCTATTTTCACCCCTCTCTGTAATACATCGCATGTTTGCAGATCGTATCGCGTTTGTAGCCCGATGATTGCTCGATCAGCGTGTAACGTAGTCCGAGTATTACAACACGTGATATTCCAGCGTGTCGATAACACGGGATTATTGCCATTGAATCTCTCATTCCACAATAAAATGATAATAAATAACTGTTAGAAATCATTCTAACACAAGAAAAAGTAGAGCGATCTTAAGCGGAACGCGTCAATTAATTATCCGATTTGGTGTAGCTCCGTCTCGTTTGCGTTAAAAATTTCATCAATCTTCACTCTTTGTAAAAAAAAACAAAAAAAAAAGAGAGAAATAAAGTTACACGAATTTTTCACAATTTAATTATAATGTTGTTGTACCATTTATAAAACTGCGAAGTGCTTAAAATTCGATTATCGATTTTCCTTTTCTCTTTGATATTCTCTCAGACGTCGACGAGTGTGCGGAAGGTACAGCAAAATGCACCGATATTTGTCGCAACGAACCCGGCTCGTACTCTTGCGAGTGTCATCGTGGTTTTCAGCTGGGAACCGATGGCCGTTCCTGCCAAGGTTAGTCATATAGAAAGAAAGATGTCTATCTTTGACAAATATTTACAATACTAATACTCGTCGGTTCCTCTTTGTGCCGACGTATTTACTTTCTCCATTTACAGTTACACGTTTGTGTCATCTACACTCTTAAATTTCTTGCAGTGAAATCTCACTCCAAGAAAGTGAAAACGCGTAACCTCCCTTAAAAAGAGTGGAAATATTTCACTTTTTGGAAAAGAATTGAAAATCGTCACTCTTTTTCAGGAAGTAGAATATTTTTGCTTCTTTTTTCAACGTTGTTTTTCAATTTTCGAGAGTAAAGTCTACACTTTGCTGCTTCAAAAAGCAATTAATTTTAGCTCCGATTTAATTTGTTATTTAATAAATGAACTCGTCGAGGGAAAAACTCTCTGTAAAGCACGTAATTATTGCTCAGATATCAATGAATGCTTCTCGAACAATGGGCATGGTCCTTGCCAAGGTACTTGTCGCAATCTCGAAGGAAGCTACGAGTGCAGTTGCGCGGATATCCCCGGGTACAAATTAGCTGCCGACAATCACACTTGCGAAGACATCGACGAGTGCGCGTTGAACAACGCGAATTGTTCTCACCTGTGTTTAAACACGCCCGGGAGCGTCTTCTGCCTCTGCTCGGATGGTTTTTATCTGACGAACGATTGGAAAACCTGTCAGGGTAAATACATCTCATACTTGTTTTCGACCCGTACCATATCTCCTATTTTCGATCTTTTGTAATAAATTATTGAAATGTTTGTGTTTGAAAGTTTAATTGTTTATTGTATTAATTGCACCGCTAACTGAGATTTAATTGCATCGATCATCTTTTACAAATTCTAATTTCCTTCTTATAATTTAGACCGATCGATTGTCCAATATTTACATTATTTATGATATTTTGTACTTACAATTAGATTATTTAGCTTCTTTTACTTCATTGGAATTTCATTCATATTTAACAGCAAAAACAACGTTATAAAGTCTGACTTATCTTTTTTCTTCTGCAAAAAGAACGGATAAAATCTGAGTTGTCTTCTTTCTTTAGATGTTAACGAATGCGAGGTGACTCCGGAGATATGCGCGGAGAACACCGAATGCGAGAACACAGTGGGATCGTACAAGTGCACGAGTAGAATACATCCTTACGTGGTAACGAAGATTCTTCGAGAAGAGGACTACGATGATGACGAATACGAGAACAGTGAGAATTATGATTATGAAGAAGAGATTACTAAACTGCCGCAGAGCTCGCAGTGCGAAAGTGGCTTTAAGACGAATGAAAATTTAGAATGCGTTGGTAAGTGTACTTTTCAGCACACGCAAAGTTGTATTAATAACAATTATCGTAATTTTATAATAATTCGATTGTCAATTAAAATATCTAAATATATACAGACTTTTAATGTGTAAATATTTTCAAGTGAAAAAATGTTGATATTCTTCGCTGTGGCAACTTCCTGCTATTTACTCCTCCTTATTTTCTAAACTTTGAATATTTTCAAGTGAAACGTTGAAATTCTCTCCGCTCTTGATAACTTTCCGCATTTATTTATTTCTTACATTTTTTAATGCATCTTCCTCGCGATATGTAAGCAAGACTCAAATACAAATTTGCTCGAATAAAATCTAGCTGACTGGATTAACTGGGAAAAAGAACGTCAAACTGCGACAATTCTTTTCCAGATATAAAAGAGTGCGTTAAGAACGAAACGCACCGCTGCCAGCACGAGTGCGTAAAGGAGCCGGGCGGCTATCATTGCGCTTGTCGGGCTGGTTACGTGCTCGCGGAAGACGGGGCGACGTGCGAGGACGTGGACGAGTGTGACGTATCACCCATGCCGTGTTCGCACATCTGTCGCAACACCGCCGGAGCGTACGTGTGCGAGTGTTTCTCGGGGTTCATGCTGACGGACGACAACGTAACTTGCGCCGAGGACCTCAGGACTTGCTTCAGCCGGCGCCTGTCGAAACCCTGTTCCCACACCTGCGAGGACACCGCGGAGGGATCGCGATGCGTCTGCCCGACTGGATACGAACTGTCGGACGACCGCGCGACCTGCACGGACGTCGACGAGTGCACCCGGGAGACCCCGTGTTCGCATTCGTGCGTTAATCTGAACGGCAGTTTCGTCTGCACGTGTCCGAACGGCCTGGAGATCCTCGAGCGCGCGAGCAAATTCAACTGCACCGACGTGGACGAGTGTGGCGGGGACGACCACGGCTGCCAGCACCGATGCGTGAATCTCCACGGCGGATACGAATGCGTCTGTCATTCGGGATTCGCCCTGGACGTCGACGGCAGATCCTGCGCCGACGTGGACGAGTGCGCGGGAGGATCGCACGGGTGCTCGCACGAGTGCGAGAACGAGGCGGGTGCTTACAAGTGCGGGTGTCCTGGCGACATGTCCCTGGACGATACCGGCAGAAGCTGCGTACCGTCCGACGTGTGCGGAACCGCGAATTGCGGTCACGCCTGCGAGAAGGAGCGGGACACCTACAGGTGCGTCTGCCGAGAGGGATACGTCTTGCAACAGGACGGGAAAACCTGCCTGGATGTGGACGAGTGTCTCGAGGACGAGCACGATTGTTCGCACGAGTGCGTCAACGCCGTCGGAAGTTACAGATGCGCTTGTCCACGGAATATGAAGCTTCTCGTGGACGGTCTCACTTGCGGGGATCCGGCGTGTCCTTCGGGACTTCGACAGAACGAGGGCGGTCAGTGTCGGGACGTCGACGAGTGTCTCGAGGGCGAATACGAGTGTTCGCATTTGTGCTACAACGTGTACGGGTCTTATCAATGCTCGTGTCCCTCCGGCTGGGTCCTGGAGGACGACGGTTTCACTTGCGCGAGAAGCGATCCCTGCGCCAATTCCTCGTGCTCGCATTCGTGCGTTCCGTCAGACGTGGGTTATAAATGCGAGTGTCCTGCGGGGTATCTTCTCGACGGGGACACGTGCAAGGATAGGAACGAGTGCGAGGACCAGGCGACGAACGGCTGCAGTCACGACTGCAGAAACCATGAAGGTTCCTATTCGTGCCTCTGCCCGGTGGGAATGGAGCTTGAAGAGGATAATCGCACGTGCGCAGTGATCCCAGAAGACGAATGCGCGTCATCTCAAGGGAATAATAACTGTACCTGTCCTGCGGGATACGCTTACTCACGTGAAGAGCGTATTTGCGAGGACACTGACGAGTGCCAGGATAAACAGACGCACAATTGTTCCCACGAATGTATTAACACCGACGGCTCTTACCACTGCGAGTGTCCTTCCGGTTGGCGACTGCGAGAGGACTCTAGGACCTGCCAGGAGTTGCTCGATGATCCTTGCTCCAAGGATCACGGTTGCTCACACACGTGCGAACGGGATGGTGACAGCGTTCGTTGCGGTTGTCCGGAAGGACACGAGATACTGGATGATGGGAGGACTTGTCGAGATGTGGACGAGTGTTCCGAAGGCTCCCATGCGTGCAGTCACGTATGCATAAACGTCGAAGGTGCTTACCGTTGTCGGTGTCCCTCGGGATTTTGGTTGGAGGACGATCACAGAACCTGTCGATATGTCGACGAGTGTTCGTCCGAAGAGGCCGACTGCTCTCACGGATGTTTCAATACGAACGGCACTTACAACTGCACCTGTCCTAAAGGATATGAGCTACAAGATGACGATAAAACGTGCGAGGTCGTGGACTGGTGCACCGCCTCGAACAATCCTTGTTCGCACAGTTGCACAAATCATAACGATACTTACGCGTGCTCGTGTCCCGCGGGATATCAAATCGGCGATGATGGCAGGATCTGCGAGGACGTTAACGAGTGTGTTCGAGACAACGGAGGATGCTCGCATCTTTGTGCGAACACGGAGGGTAGCGTCGAGTGCGCGTGTCCTGAAAATTACGAGCTGTTGAAGGACGACGGCAAGACGTGCGTAGAGATAAACGCGTGTTCCATCGATAACGGGGGCTGTTCGCACTTCTGTCATCACGAGGACGACCGGTTATTCTGCTCCTGTCCGCCTGGAATGGCACTGTCCGAGGAAACGCTGTGTACGTATGAAAACGATTGTCTGCAGGACAACGGTGGCTGTTCTCATTTGTGTTACCATGAAGCCGGCAATGTGACCTGCGCCTGTCCACCCGGTATGATTCTAGCGGAGGATCAAAGACTCTGCGTGCAAGAAGACGGGTGCGCGATCGAGAATGGCGGTTGCTCTCATTTCTGCCACGATCATGACGGTAACGTGACGTGCTCGTGTCCCGTAGGAATGTCCTTGGCTCAGGACGACGACACTCTTTGTATTCGTGAGAACGGGTGTCTCGTTAATAACGGCGAGTGCTCGGATACCTGTACTTTCGCGAACGGTTCGATCGTCTGCGAGTGTCCCGCGGGCTACCGTCTATCACCGCGGGACAACGCTACCTGCGCGGACATCGACGAGTGCCTGGAGCTGTTGGACAACTGCACCCATCAATGTCTGAACGTTCTCGGCGGCTTCGATTGCAGCTGCAACGCCGGCTTCTCGCAGAATCCTCAAGATCCGACCCTGTGCGACGACGTCGACGAATGTCAACTCGAGAACGCAGGATGCTCGCACTCCTGCGTGAACCTAGTCGGCACTTTCAGGTGTCAGTGTCCAATGGGATACGTTTTAGAACAAAACAACAAGACCTGCGTTTTGGTGGATGGTTGCAGAAACGGTAACGGGAACTGCTCCCATCATTGCCATCCGGTGGAGGGTCCCGATGGTATTCCGAGCACTCGTTGCTCCTGTCCGCTCGGCTACCGCCTGAGGCGCGATCTTAAGACCTGCGAGGACATTAACGAGTGCGAGGAATTTGAGAACGACGTGGAATCGCCGGGCTGTTCTCACATCTGCGCGAATACCGAGGGCGGTTATGACTGCGAGTGTCCACTCGGCTACATTCTGATGCCGGACGACCGGAAGAAGTGCGTGGACGTGGACGAGTGTCTGACCGGCCATCACAATTGCACGCATGACTGCGTGAACTTGCTAGGCGGTTACACGTGCACTTGCTACAAAGGACATTATTTGCACCCCGACAATTTCACCTGCCTGGATATCGACGAGTGTCTCGAGCGAAATGGCGAGTGCTCGCATAATTGCACCAACACCATCGGCGGCCACTCTTGCTCCTGTCCGACCGGCTACGAGCTGTCGCAGGACGAGAAGACTTGCGTCGATATCGATGAGTGCGCGAGCGACAACGGCGGTTGTGATCACGAGTGTGTTAACACTCCGGGCTTCTTCCGCTGTGAATGTCCACCGAATCATGAATCGTGGAACGGATCCTGCCGACTGTTCGATCCATGCCGAGACCGTAATGGTGGCTGCGAGCAGATTTGCGCAGCGGTGAACGGTACCGTGATATGTTCGTGCGAGAAAGGCTTCCAAAAGGACGAGATCGATGGTTTCAAATGTCGTGATATTGACGAGTGCGAAGACCAGCACGGCTGCGATCAAATTTGCGTCAACAATCTTGGCTCGTACGAGTGCAAATGTAAGGAGGGATTCCAAAAAATGCTCAATTCTACTTGTGAAGGTAAGCGACATAACTGATAATAAATCTCGATTTTATGTCCCATGATATAAATCTTGGCAGCTTTAAGTGTATAAGTTATTGATGATTTATTCGTAGACTAAATTTGACGATATCACGATTGTAAAGAGGAATTCTAAAAAAATCCGTTGAAGACTTCTGGAAAATTATTGAAGAGAAAATAAACGTTCCAACTATATTACATTTAAGGAAACGTGTGATTAAAGAATTATTTTAAAAATTGAGATTTTATAATAAATACAGAATAAAGAAGTTTAATATGAGTTTTAGTTTTTAATATTGTAAACAAAAATAATATTTTAATAACAGGACTCTTAATATAAAAATGACAATTAGACTGACAAGAGTCAAAAATTAGTAAAAATAATTTATTGAAAAATTCAAACAAACGATGAAAAACTTGATTTAATTTCATTTTAACATTCGACTAAACATAACGTTAAAGTAAAATTAAATCAAGCTTTTCATCGTTTATTTGAATTTTTTAATAAATTATTTTTACACAATTGTCATATTGTAAACAAATACAAAAATGTATGTAACAACGAGAAAATATTTTCGGCACCTTAAATGCTTTTTTCACTACTATGATAATCTTACAGCTTTTTTTATAAGAATATTTTTATAAGAATATTTTTATATTTTTTTAATACATGTATTGTATATACAAACATAGATCATAAACAAACATTTAGTGAAAAAATGTTTGCTTCCTAAATAGTAACTTACAAAAAAAAGCTTCTAACAGCATGGCATATGTCGGCCGCTCGCAACTTTGCTTCTTCACTGCTTGAAACTTAAATTTCACGTTGCTGTTCCTCACTTATATTCTCATCATCCTAAAGTCTTTTTAGAAAAGAGCTACTCGCATCACGAAAAAGACCTTTTGGAGATACGAAAGGCTTGAAATAATGATACGTACAGGAATGAATCGGCTATATTATTTAAGGATTAATCGTCGTTACTGAATACTCATGTAAGTCACAAAGGAATTTCTATTTCACGTTGATGAGGTGTTTTTTTCTTAAAAAAAAAAAAAAAAAAAAAAGGGAAATTATTCACGAAGCGGATTGCGCATAAAGCAGTAATAAATGCAATAAAGAAAGAAACCACCGCGCGATCCACTTTTCACAGTTCTATACAATTCGCGTTTATATAAATCGTTGTTTCAATTCATTTTGCTATCAAGGCTAATTTTCTAAAAATAGTATCGTCACCTCTGGAAAATCCGAGAGATAACGCGCGGTTCCTAGTTACACGGTTTCGCCCTTTTCCCCCCCCCGCCCCTTACTTGTGCTCCAGTTTCGAAGCTTGCTTGTAAAGTTTAGACTCGCTTAGACTCGGGCGGAAGTTTCTCTCGGCGGAGCGAACCTGTGTGTTTGTGCGTATGTGGTCCTTTTTCTTTTCCTACCGTTTCTTTTTTTCAGACGTCGACGAATGCGCAGCCGGTATTTGCAAGGGCAACAAATGCATCAACGTGCCGGGCAGCTATCGTTGCGAGTGCGAGGCGGGATATCGATTCCACGGTGATACCTGTGTAGGTTCGTGTGTAGGCGGAAACTGTGTGTGCTTACTTGAGTGAAAAAAAAAAGGAAAAAAAAGAAACACGATGTCGCTTAATCGTAACCGAACTGAGTTTGCTTTTTCCCCCGTAGACGTCGACGAATGCTTGGAAGAGGCACCCTGCAGTGAGAGATGCGTCAACACACCCGGCTCGTACTACTGCACGTGCCCCGCCGGATTTCAATTGGAAGGGGACAAATGCGTAGGCAAGTTTGAGGCATGCAATCGCACTGTAAAGTATAACGTTGCATGACATACATATGTATATGTTTCATATAGGAGAGGGTGGAGCTGTTCCATCAGTTTCCACCCAGAAAACACAGAATGTAACTGTAATATTGCAGCAACGTTCTTGCGACGTTGCTGCAACATTGTAGGTATATTCTGTGTTTGTTGGGAACTTTGAAGTGTAACGAAAATTTTACGATAGTAAACACTGTCTTTTTGCAATAATGTGCTTATAATTACATTATACACACACAATTATGATTGCTGCTCGGGGATACAAACGCAACCTTTGAGTAATCGACATCTCTGTTCAGAAACATAAACATTATCGCGAGAAATGTTCAATGTTACGATGAAAAAGTCCGTTCTTCCTTATACATTCTTTGAAAAAAGGTTACGTACAAGTCTAGATGTGCTGCGATCGTTTTCTCGATAATGATGATGGATACGACTTTGACGCGTGGAGTCTTTCTTGTTGGAGTCTTTTGTTGAAAGAAATTGAAATTGTTCTACTATGACATTTTACCGTATCTGTCATCGTTTCTGAGATAATGGCCTTTTTGCCTAGACTTTTGCGTATGTAACTGTTTATCAAAGTGTATGTTTTATGTTCACTTTTATTATATACATTATGTATATTTTTTTAACAAAAAGTTGCGCAGAAATCTAAACAAAAAGATTATTATTTCAGAAATAGTTACGGTAAAATGCCACAGAGAACTATTTCGATTTTTTCTCACTAACACATGCGACGTGTGATTCATTTTGAATAAATGGCTGTCTAAATATTATAATTGACTATATTGAAACTCTTATCTAAAAGAATTAACACATAACTTTTTTATTCAATTTTTTTAAAACTTTCTTGCTATGATATTTTGATTCGCAAACTTCGAGACACTCTGTATAAATATTTATATCTATTTCTTAAAAATTTTGTTAAAAGTTCAATCGAAGCGTGGGTTTTTATATACGTTTATCACGCGAATTTATCATCATTGTGCATTAATCGTGTTACATTATATTTGCTTGATTATGGTGTGTAGATTTGGTACACCCTCTTACATTAGGTGTACAAATTAGTTCGGTCCGTATTTTGTGTTCAAAAATGCATTTATCTCAAAACAAAATGAATGGAACAGATTAATTAAAGTATCGTCCATCGCTGGCTACTACTTTTTCCCATCTCTCAGGCAATTTTCGAATTCCATCTAAAACAAAAAAAAATGACTCGTCTTTGGAGGCGATGATCTTTTGGAAAACGGACCGAACTAATTTGTACTCCCGATAATAATAATTTCAACAATTTATTCCACGCAGATATTGATGAATGCGAATGGCGTCGCGGCAGATGCGATCAAGAGTGCATCAATACCGTAGGATCATTTGCTTGCGCCTGTCGCGCCGGATATACGTTAATTTCGAGGTAAGATCTAAGCGATATATACAGCGGCTGACGGTGTAAAAAAAAAAAAAAAAAGACAGATATCATACGATTCCCGCTCTTTATGCATGGGATTGCGCGAGCAGGAGTCAATGTCAAGACGCGAACGAGTGTCTAAACCGGAACGGAGGTTGCACTGGCGAGTGCATCAACACCGCGGGAAGTTACTATTGCGCCTGCAGTGAGGATCTGGTGTTGGCGCCCGACGAGAGAACTTGTGTCTCGCCAACGTCGAGATGCCGTGCCATGGAGCCACCCATACACGGAGAGGTATGAACTGTCGTGCGGATATCGCGAGCGATATTAGATGGATCGAGTCGATATACTACCGAAATACATATCCTAAAGCATCTTTCAAAGAGATGAGATGTTGTACTACACGCCACCATCGACATTTCCAACGTACCACTTTGCATTTTACATGCCCTGTTGAAATGTTGAAAAAAAAAATTCTGAAAAATATCCAGAGCTGCAAGAATAGCTGAAAAAAAAATGGAGGATTTAGACTTGTTCGAAACAACCGGCAGAAATTAAAATGGCAAATTAAAATAAAATCACCGAGTTTTTTTTTTTAAATGCGATTAAGATGGAACAAAAACAAGAGAGCCGGAAGCTGGAAAATAATTTTTATAATAATATAATGCATAATATAGTTACAAATATTGAAGTACACGGGCTATTCAAATCTCGCTAGTTATTCACGATACAATAATTTTTTATATTATTTATAAAAACTTGTTGTACCTTAAACATGATAACTAGCGGGGCTCGAACGGCTAAATGTACGTTCCTTTGTCAAATTTAATTTCCTTGCAGTCTCAGGTTTATACATGCAGTTTGAATCATTATTATAGTCGACACGAATATGTCAAGTTTATTCCTTTGACTAAGTTATTCATTCTATTTTCCTGGATCTAATCGAGCAGATAAGATGTCCAGGACATCCTTCCGGCGCATCCGTCTATCCCCAGGGCGCCAAGTGTCATGTCCGATGTCGTAGAGGTTTCCGGCTTGAAGGGGCGCACACGAGACACTGCGTTAGCGACGGTCGTTGGAACGGGAAGGAGCCTATATGTCTGCGCGAAGTCGCAACAGACCCTCTTTACAATCCAAGTATATAACTCAATTCCACAATCCCGCGGCTCGCCAAGAAAAAACCGCTGCGGGCACCATGTCCTTCACGTCCCGTAACTTCGCCGGGAAATTAATCAAGATGTTTATCCGATAAAATTTTTAACGAGCTGACTGTTGCATCGGAGCGTCAGGGACGAACTGCTGTATACGCTCACCTCATCGTCGTGTAATTATTTTCAACGGGAATTTTTTCAACATCGTTATTTTCATTTAAAATTTATTCTTGGCCGTTTCACGGTTTTTTTTTTCTAGACGCGCGCCCGCAGCATTTTTTCCAGAGGCTTTCGCGTATCGCTTTTAAAGGGGCGTTTGAGCAAGTATCCTACTGTAGACGTAAAGATCGTGAGCTCTATAATACCCTGGAACGTGTGCCATCGAGGAGTGGGGGTGTCCCAATTTCTAGATAATGGCACTCTGACGCAAAGGTTGTACTGCTTTTCTCAGTCAGCGATTCGCTGATTGGCTGATGTGGTTTTACTAGCCTAAGTAGGGAAGAATTAGAAAAACAAATCTTTGCCTTCTTTTTCTCTGTCGAGCCGCAGTTTTCTACAGTTTAGTTCTCAATTTCTAAGTAATGACACCCTGATGCAAAAACTGTACTGTTTTCTTTGTCAACGAATCGCTGATTGGCTAATGTGACTTACCGCAAGTAGGAAAGAATTAAGAATACGAGTATTTTTGTTTGCTCTTTCCTTTCCTCCGTTAATCCGCAGTTTTCTATAGTTTAGTACAGGAAAGGCGCGTTCTAGTATATATTATATAATAGATAGACTCAGGCCTGGATTAAGGGGGAGGCTAGGGGGGGCTGTAGCCCCACGGAAATAGGGGCCCCCGTTACATTAAGAAAAAAATTTTAATTTTTTGATTAAAATTAAAATTAAAATCATTCGAAATTATTGTTAATCTTAAAAAAAAAAATTAGTTTTTATTCCCTTAATATATAGTAATCTTTATGATTCAATTTTAATGTTTATTGTTTTGGATCAAATAACCTAATTATACTGCTTTACGTATAGATGTGATCATCTTTTTTAAAAAGATTGAAAAGAAGGGCCCCCTAAAGTTAAATAGCCCCGGGCCCCTCAACTCTTTAATCCGGGCCTGGATGGACCGCACTGTAATAGATATAAATTGTGCGTTTCTCTATGAAGTTGTCACTATAAGTTTAGGAACGGTAAAGTGGCTTGATTCGTATCGCGCAGATACCGCTCTTTCTCTCCCTCGCCGGCACGTTGAAGAGAGACGCTGATGCGGTTCGATATTGCGTTTTCCCTTTAACGAAGCACAAAGATCAGGAAATGCACAGTCTCTCTATACCTATTACCAGGTCTACGACCTACACCAAGTACAGGGACGTCTCGAGCTCTCGTTAAATTTCCCTTCGACTTCCAAGACGTTATTCTTTTCAATTTACATGAAGGGCGAAGCGCGTTCGGTCATGCGCGATCGAACGTAAAATATTGCCGGGACCCGAGCAAATAACCTAACGACGAAAATTCTTGGACGCGCTAGATTAGTCATGCCGCTCGGAGCAGCTTTTAATAATACAAAGTTCCTGTGTAGGGGCTGCCTGCTAACGAGATCATACGTTAACGCCGCCTCTTAACGAGCTTACTCGGACCGGCGGGGTTTTTTACGTTCCGGCTCCTCTCCTCTCTCTCTCTCTCTCTCTCTCTCGTTCGTTTTATCCATTTTGCCGCAGCTTTTTCATTCCCGCGTACATTTTCGCGGTTCTTTCCTCCGTGACGTTAATTGTTTCGTTTAATGGAAAAGAGATTTTGATTCTACGTCCGTTTCATGCCGCTACGGTTTTTACCAGTTTACAGCCGCTGTCGTTTGAGAATCCATTCTCGGGGTATTCAAATCGGCTCCCATTTTGAAAGAGATGCTTTTCGGCGCGGCGCGGTGCAGCGCTCTTTAAGTGGCTCCTATCTCACGTCAAACGATATTACGCGCGTTTACGGTTGCTTTATAAATAAAGGGCGGCTTTAGGTTCTACAGAAAGGAATATACTGAGGATAATCGAGAATTCGCGTGTTCAATTTAACGATATATAGATTAAGTTATTGATTTTTCAGTCATAAAAAGAGAATCGATTTTGTATCATTGAAATTAAATGTTTTTGCGAACTCTCTGTACATCCCGTGTAAAACCGATAAACGTGATGAACCTTTTCACACACGACGTGATACTTTCTGAAGTGAAATAACGACGCTTCTTGAACAGCCAATGATATGGGAATTGCTCTCGCCATCGAAGTTTCTTATCGTGTTATAGTATGGGAAATTGGGCGATCGGTATCAAGAGTTTAACTATCGACTTTATTGCCGTAGACACGCCACGGCCGTTCGTGAGCTGCCCCCAGGACATGGACGTCGAATTACCGGCTAGGCAAAACACGATACGTGTAACTTTCCCGCAACCAAAGTCCAACATGGATTGGTGGAGGTAAGAAGCGTATTATAGAGAGCCTCAATTTCGGGACTACTAAAATCGATTCGACCCCCGATCTATGTATTATCCATCAAAAATATGTAAAGTGCACGGTTTGATATCGAGTTTACCTTGTTTAATATTTTCCGCAATAAATCCATTGAAGTGTTTTAAGACGCTCATTAACATCGATCGATATTATCAATTGCTTGCCAATTTAATTTGTAGTATTACTCGAATTTATTTTCCATCAAAAATGGTTAATATATAGATTTATCTTGATGATATTTTTTCCGCGATAAATTTAGTGTTTTAAGATGCTCATTAGTATCGATCAGTATTATAAATTGCTTGTCAATTTGTAGTTTTTGAATATATTTTCCATCAAAAATGTGTTACGCAGTATACGGATTTACGGATTTACCTTGATGATATTTTTCGCAATAAATCCTATAAAGTGTGTTTTAAGATGCTTATCGATCAATATTACTAAATTGTTTATTAATTTAATTTGTAATCTTACTCGAATCTATTTCTCATTAAAAATATATCAATATATAAATTTATTTTGATATTTTTTCCGCAATAAATTCTTTAAATGTTTCGCTCATTCATATTAGTATCGATTAATATTATTAAATTTATTTTTCATCAAAAATATATTACTATATTAATGATATTTTTTGCAATAAATTCTTTATAGGGTTGAAATGATTATTAGTGTCAATAAAACTATTAGGCATTAGAATCCATTTTGATCGGACATGGCTGTCAAGCTTTGTTTATTTATGTTAGATCTATATCTTGATCAAACATTGTTACTTAATTCTATTTTTAATTTTATTTGTTAGAGTGACACGAATTATTTCTGTTTTCGTTTTGGACCGAAATCTGTTTGTGGAATGAAAATGGATCGACCAATTAATGTCGCGAAGCGATATTAATTGGCAAATATTTATTTGTGTCAAATTTAGGTGTTTCGGTAGATTTTTGAGAAATTTCCGTGCAGATAAAATACAAAATATTAAAAGTTTCTATTTGTCAATCCATTAATGTGAACGAAATAGTTGATAGTTATTTGAATAATATTGAGTGACCCTCGACTGCGCGTCTATCTTGCTAGCCTCTGCTTTCTTCTTTTTGTTTTCCCCTTTTACGTTTTTCAGATACGTACACGCTTCACCTCCCTGGGCAAAGCAATTGCAAGCGGATCTGCCGGCGGGCACGACGGTCGTTACCTTCACGGCATGGTCGCCGGTCTCTAATTACACCAGCACCTGTAGGATCGTGATAAGAGTTCGCGGTAAGTCCGGCGCGTAAGAGAGAAATCAGGAACAAAAAGAATCCGCTTTGGGAAGTGGAAAGGAAAATGGATCTCCTCTCTGCGCGAGCTCCTTTTTCTTGCACTAAGTATCATCGCGGCGATAAGAACCACTATTATAAACAGTATAAGTAAACGTATCATCGAAGCGAATAAGAAATTATATCCGCATTTTTTTCACGCTAAACATCATTCCGTCCTTACGGAAATTCAGTTTATCACTGGCCAATTTAATACTGAAAGATGATGATTAATTATAATTACTTTGAATATATAATTAGTTATTTTGAATATTAAAAGCATTGAACAACACTGCTTTTAATACTCAAAGCGAGTAATTAATCACTAGCTTTCAGTATTAAATTTCGATAAGAACGTTATTATATTATAATAAGGACCAGAATTATTAACAAACGAATTATTAACAATGAACGCTAATAAAAGGTATAGTTGGAATTTAGAGGCGACGAAGGATATAATGAGAAAGGATTTATCTTGACATATTTTATAACAAAGAAGAGTGACACCACTTTTCTTCTCTTAACTCCCAACTGTATACCCTCCAGAGAGTTCAATTGAGCGGATAAGAATAAAATGGGACCAGAAAACTTGACAGCTTCGAAGCGGAATTTCTGATTTCATAGATTATCAATCTTCGATCAAAATCCTGTGTGAAGTTTCTACCTTCCTCTCTCTCTCTCTCTCTCTGTTCCCTTTTATTTTCGATTTGTCTACTTTTCCCGGCGCGGAAACTTTTCGCACAGGGGACAATCGATCGGGATGAGAATCGGCCCGACACTCGAATCGTCCCGACGCGGGTAAACTTTAGTTTCCGCGGCGAAGTGCACTCCGCGTCCCGTCCCGCTTAATTACTCATTCTGAAAGTTCGTGAAACTCGCTTTAAGCAAGTTCTCTCCGCAACGCAACGGCTGGAAGGAGTGCCAGTGCATCATGGTCGATACGCGATTACGCAGAATAAGCTCGCGTTGATCGGACGAACTCGCGAGAATCGCGTTGGTGCTCCCTCGTGGATCTTTGCAGTCTCAAAAACCGCTTAGCCTCACCAAGTTTCGTCTATTATATTCCGCTTTATCTCGATTTCTATTCCCTCTACATTTCTATATGTGCGACCATTCAAGATTGTAGAGAGTTCCGTTGAAAAGAAGCTCCTTGTTACGAGAAAGTACCGGATCACATGAAATCTTGAATATATGTATTTAATACACGTGGTATGATAACAAATGGGTTTACAATCTCGTAACAAAGATGTACGGAAGAATGGTTTTGTTGAAGTATAATCTAAAAATTCAGCTAAACGGATCTCAAAATAATTTGTTTGCATCGAAGTATAATAATTATGTAGGACGTACCAACTGGTATAGTTAGAGTATTAAAACATTTTAAAACTATTTGATGGTTGATGAAATGTAACAAAATTAATTTCTGTATCAAGCTACAACTTTTAGATACTTCAGCAAAACTGTTTTTTCCATGTCACAAATTTAAATATTCTACTTATTATTGTGATACAAAAATTGTAATTCTCTGTCTGCAATTATATTTTTATTCCCTCTATTTATAATCTGGATCTTTATTTGGTCCAGTCTTTTTTACTGTTCTAGGCTCTCAAAAAATGTAAAGTTCGGAGTTACTTTGAATAGGGTAAACTCGGGTATAAACGCCGCACCTATCAAAAACTTAATTTATCAATTATTATTTGCTATGTTTAAAACGAATTAATTATACTAATAAAAACTTTGTATCGTCAATTACTGTAAAAAAAATATTAGAAATCCAATATAATTTATTTTCCATATTAAGAAATAACTTTTTCAAACCTTTTTCAAAAATTTTTGCTATTTATCGCACAGAGGGGGGTAATATGGCCACTCATATATGATTCATAAGAAAATCACAAATAATCTATAAATAAGATGTAAAATGACGACGTAACTTGCATTTGTTTATTAATATATGACAATTTTTATTGTTCAGAATGAAAATTGGAATACAAATAGGACTTGATAAAATTTTTTTAAATAGCTTCAAATCTTTGAAAATAATCTTTAAACGTTTAAGATTTATCAACATTTATGCATTAATGCAAAATATAATTGTTAGAATTAACAAAAACTTCTTAAATAGAACGTCTGTGCTGCGGTCACAAATCCCGCTCGCTAAAAATGCCGTATATCCGAAATAGACGGGATATATAAGACAACTAATTAAACAAACAATACAGGAGCAAAGCACTTTGTATTTTACTATACAACATGCTTTAGTATTCCTCTACACATATGTATTGCAAAATAACCACTAAGTCTTTTACACGCTCTACAGTAATCATTTTATGTAAATTATAAATTATGATGGCACTACTTATTACAGTAAAAAATCGATTTAACTCGCAATAATTTCATTAATATTAACAGTAAGAAACTGAAATCATAATATAATACTAATATACCGTAAAGGCATGTAACAAAGTAATTGACGGAAAATTATCCCCACTCCTTCTGTTTTTTCTAACTTCTGCGGCGTATTTCCTGACGCGGCGTATATACCGGGTTTATCCTATCTCTATTACATAAGACCTTACAACTATTTTAGGAATCAGACTCCGCCCTCCTTTATTTTAATTGAAAAAATGTATGAGTAAATGAACGCGGTTATGTATAATAAAAATATTAATATCCAACGAGAAAGAGAAAAATAAAGGTATTGCCAATAAAGGATGTTGTAAGCCAGTATTGCAAGTATAATAAAAGCACGATGATTAATACGAACTTCACCACAGCAGAGATTTTACGAGAGAAATTCGGCAATTAAGATACGGCATGATATTTTCAGATACCGAAAATCCCAAGGTTACTATGTGTCCCGTGTCCTTCGAGGTCAGATTAAGCCCGGGGGAGCGAAGTCGTCTGATATTCTGGCAAGAACCGACCTTCACCGATAACGTCGGCGTGGAACACGTTTATAAAACGAGGGTACGTATACTCGTCGTCAAGAAGTAAACCGTATATCGGACGTGTATTCGCTGTCGGATGCAGCGTCTCATCGTGTACGATCTTTCGTTGTATCCACGAAGTTTTCTCAAATTTAATATCTCTGGTATCGAGCGGTCTCGTGACTTCCCGTAGAGTCTTCCGTCGGTGAATCTTGAAGTTAATTAACCCCCTTTTGCCGTTGACAATCGGGCATATTAATCGAGCGAGGATATCGTCCATTAATTATCCGTTCGTGTTTCGAGAAAATGAGACCCGACGAAGAAACTGCTGCAATGCGACGGAGGATAGTATCTACGATTTTCCTCGCGAGCGGTACCGTAGGAAAAACCAGCTGGATGATTAATCATTGTCGGTCGACGCTTCCCGGCCTGTTTTTATTGTATCCTTTTGGCGCGTCTCCGCGCGCGCGGAAAGCGTTACGTGTACTTTATTAACGTAATAACAGAGATTACCCTGTCCACGCGGTAACCGGCCCGCGGATAATTGGTGGCTCGCACTCTCGATAACATTGGTTATAAATGGCCGTTGAACATTACGCAACTCGACGGTTAATCTGATTAGGCAAATTGAAACAAGGTGTCGCGCGAAGGAGGACTATCGTGCGCTGGTCTCTTTAAGGGGACCCTAAAGACAATTAATCGTATTGGAAATAGCAATTACACACAGACGATTACGTGTCATTGACACATCACTATACATCAATATCTCATTCACGCACGCGCCACACATATACATAAATTTTCGTATCGTAATTACGTTTTAATTAGACATCTAAATCTAATTTTAAGAAGTCCACGCTGTTTCTTCATGCAAACTACATGCCTGTGGACTACTATTTCGTAAGTACAGATCGCATAGTTTCTATATGAAGTAAATGTTGTTACGAAGTGCAACGACGTGACAACTCTGGAGCGCCATATTGTACTAAAAAATGGTAAAGAACTCAATTTTGAAATAATATAAAATAAGGCCCAATAAGTATAAAACAATATGAGTAATAATAAGGGCAATGAGCCAAATACTAAACGCAAGAAAAATTTTTCAAATTAAGTATAATATAAAATTTAAACATTAATACAGACGTTTCGACTCCGATCGGGTCATCTTCAGTGTAACAAACATAAATAAATTATAAAATTTCGGTGTCGCTAATCAATAGATAATGTCAGGAAATTGTTCGCATCTTGAAATTGTTGTCCATCATGTCAATTTTAAAATTTTTTATCGTTTTTTCAGCATAGATTCTGCCTCACAGGCACGTATTAATGCGTATACACTTTAATTTTGTAAAAGGATCTTCGAATCTGTGAATGAACAAAAAAAGTATTTATACGATACAAAAATTATACGATTTAGTCGGTAATACAGGAGGCTTTAGGATCCCCTTAATTGGGTCGTTCGAAGGACGATAGAAACAAAAGGAAAGTAATCGATCGCGTCACAATCGTATATCCGCATTTTGGACGAATATGAAGCGTCGCGCCGTACACGGACAAGATTAGCCGCCGCCGGCGCACACACCGTTTCCCACATACAAAAGCGGACATTTTCCTCGGAGGAAATTTCCATGCAATTGCGCGAAAAGTTAATTATCGTACATCTCGCACAGGGACCTGGACACGTGATGTATCCTGGCATTCACAATGTGCGCTACGTCGCCTCGGATGCAGCCGGAAATCGAGCCGAATGCCATTTCTCGATACACGTGAGAGGTAAATTTATGCCATTGTGTGCCCCGCGGGAGACTGAGAAGGGCTTCGCGGTGCGTAGACTCGAATGGCGTCGCGACGCCGTCTGCGTCGCGACGCGCGACACCGCGAATTCCCTTCAATGTGGGAATACTGTCGCGTCACGTATCTCCATCATAAATATATAAATGTAATTATCGGCGAAGAGCGCAATTGATCCAACGTTTGTCTCGTACATTTGCAGAATCCACGGACGTTCTCGACTCTGAGGTGAGTACGAATGAATTATCGTAACATATATACTTTGCACATTAATTTGGATAGACCGTTTTTTTAATCCAATTTCGGCCAGTCTTCTTATCAATGTAGGTCATCGATCCTTCGTAAAGGAACAGTACTCTGGATCTTTTTCTCCAGCCTAAATTTTTTTTACCGTGTTCTAAACTTTCGAAGAATCTAGGAAAATTTTGGATTACTCTCTTCAATAACTTTCATTTGAAAATGCAATTTTCTGCCTATGTCAAAAAAGACCCAGTGAAGAGGGTCAACTTTAATCTCAATTTAATTCACTCTTTATCTTAGAACCAGAAAGGAAAGATGCCGGTTAAACGTATCGAGATTAAAGTTAATCTACAAAACAATGTAGAAATGGCTACCCGATTTACTTTTTTCAGCTTACATAAATCTCTCTGTACGGGAGACGCCTTACTGCTTCAATTTTAGCAAACGGTTTCACTTGCAATAGCTTTTCGACCCGACAAAAATATCGAAGCACCGCTCGGGTATCCTTTATAGTCGTTTCAATAAAAGCGGTACCATCCGCGCGCGCGTCTCGTAGAAAGGCGTCTCGTAGAAACCCTTTTCGAGGATACGCGCGGTAGCCGTAGATTAAAGCGCGGGAGGGAAATTTATGCGGGAAGGTAGGGAGTCTCACAGTGCACTTATCTCCTCGTTTAGCCGAGATTCCACAGAAGAAGGATGCTGATGTGCCCTGGCAGACCGCCCCAGCCCGTGCCCAGCTCCTCATACGAGGTGAGTAGACAAGACAGGGTTGCCACAAGTCAGGGAAATGTCAGAGAATTTAAAACAATGCGTCGGGGAAGTCAGGAAAAGTCAGGGATTTAGCACACTTGTCAGGGAAAATAAAATATAGCTGTAAATCAATTTATATTACCTTGTGCTTCTATGATTGGATTTTTTTTTTTTTTTTTTTTTTTTTTTTGGAATTCGTTTCCTGAAGAAAATGTGCATCTATGTGACATTGCAAAATATGTATTATTTAAAGTCAGGAAAAATCTGAAAATTTTATCAGCAAATCAGGGAAATGTCAGGGAATTCTTATACGATTAAAAATTCGTGGCAACCCTGCAAGAGTATACTCTCGCGATTACGCGCGGGGTCGACGAGATTCCCGGAATCATCTTGACTCGACTTGCAGTGGCAAATACCGAGCGGTTGTTACTTAAGATACACCAGAATCTTCTCGGGAGCTTATCAGCGACATCCGGAGCATCGACGGAATGGTTACCCGGACCCTGAGGCCCCTTATCGCGAGCTTCCGCCGCCTACCCGGCAGACTCCGAATCGCCCGGACAACGCCGGGACGTACAATACCGACAATTGTAAGTGTCTGTATACGAGTGCTGTGACCTAGAAATGCATATTTCATCGGAGTCAATCAAATATTAACTGTTTAAATAATTCAAATGTCCCGATGGCGAAACGATGTCTCGAAAATCAAATTTAAACGATCCATAATTTTCGTCGGAGATTTTAACATAGAGAAATTAGAATTCCGTTCTCCGTTTATAACTCGGAGCGCAAAATAAATTAATGTACATACATTGTACGAAAATGTATGACATATATAAAATTGTACAAATAGAATTCCGTCTTGAAATATCTAATACAAATTGATCAAACGAACGAGAAACGGACGTTTTATTTTAGACGAAAATATACGCGCCACGGATACGTGGGATGGATTTAAAATAAACATCATTATTTACATGTAAATGAAGCAACGTGTTGCGAGATGATACGTATATAAACAATAAAATATGGCTGTAACGTAAACCGCAGCGTATACCGCAATCGATAATTGAGTTAATTTGAAACGAAGCCGACTCGAACGAGGCGGATGAGGCTACGAGAGGGAGAAAGAAATCGAAAAAAAAAAAAAAAGAAAAAAAGAAGAAAAGCTTCGAGACCGGAGATATCGACTATCGACTCGATAGGTACTCCATTATAGAAGACCCCGCGTTGACGGCAGTCAACTTCTCGAGGGCGGCATCGACCGGTTCGAGAGAAATTCGCAGCCCCGCGATCGGCGCGGTCCAAAGTGAAACGTGCGAGAGAGATACGACGAGGGGGCGATTTGCAATTACGACGGGGATCGGGGAGAAAACACAAGCGATCGGGATGTTCGACGTGTCGGCGCCGGGAAAGCTCGTCTTAACCTTACGATCGACGCCACCCTTCGTGGCTGAGAGCGCCTTCGCTTTAGCCCTGACGATCTTGTTAGCGGCGCCGTTGATCGTGCGCGTTTACCTCCTCCTCGTACGTGCCCCGATAAATTGTTCTTGCTCCTCATCCCGGTATAGGATAGTCGGAGCGTGAAAACGTTACGCGAGTACCTCTTATCGGGATTTGCGCGCGGCTTGAAACAGGACGAAACGGCGGTGCTGCGTTTTTATTCGTTCCTTCTATTCTCTCTTTTTTTTTTTATTTATTTTATTCGTCCGGCGCATTTCCTTCGATAAACAAGAGCCAAGGGACGGCGCTCCGGCTTTCATTCGTATATGACGTAACGGCACCCCCGTCGACGTGTTATATCTCGGGAAAACTCGCGTTCGGGAACCGCGCGGCGTTTTAAAACGCATCGATAACGCTTCCGCGCGGTGTTCGAGCGGAAGCACCGCGCTGGACTGTAAATTTTCCAATTTCTTTCGGCGTTACCGTGATATAACATTCGCGTTTATAACACAATGGCAAAAGCGCGCACCGCGATACCGCGCGCGATATCGAATCCATTGAAGGCGATAATGTATATACACAGCTACGGCTGAGTACTACATTATGAAGTCAAAATGGAAGCGAGAACATTTTTCTCCTCTACAAGGACCTCTTTCCCTTATAGAAGCGTACATATAATTGCGAGAAAGATTCGGAACGAGATTAAAGTAGTTTTGGTCGAAAAACTTCCTCTCTCTCTCTCTCTCTCCTTTTAAAGGGGAAATTTAACGTCGGGTATAACGGATTGCCACGGCGCGGCTTCTTACATTCTCCCCGGTGAAATTGAATATTACGTTACGTGTAGGACAAGCCGCTGAGAGCCCTCACGAAGACCGGGCGTCGCCGTCGCAACAATCTCGCCAATCGATCGTTACTGATGCATTATCCGGCTCCGATCAAATTCGCCGACTCCACATCGAGTCTGCATTCGGAATTCGCTCGCGGGATCAATTCCGCGGCGACTCTACGGAGCAACAGCGGTATCTCGAGGAGTTCCAGTCGACGTGGGACCGACCGTGGGAGGATTGGAGATCGTGGATCGAAAACACAGACACGTCGTCCATCCCCGGAGCGTCCTTCGTTCTTCGCGGACTCGCGACATCCGATAATTGACATATCGGACCTCGATTATAAAGCCTACCGTTACAAGTTGATCGAGGCCATCCTGAGGAAGCAGTACGACGACTACCAGCCGCCAGGTGACGTCGTCCTGAACTCGCTGCATTTAAATTGCAGCGATTCGGCCGACTCGGCGATCGGCATACGATTGAATGACCGATACGACCACAGTCTGTTCGACTTCGTCGAGGAGTACTACGACGTCGCCGATGCAACCATCGGTCGGAAGAACGTCGAGCGTCTCCATCCGCTGGGCCATTTCTTGTCGAAAGGCACCAGGAAACTATGGACCAGCGAGAAGGAAACGGAAACGATCTCCGACAACGGTATCGATCGCGAAAACAGCGGAAATCATCTTCCGACGGGGAACGTCGACGGTAATCCTCCAAAACTATTCGGCATGGACGATAATGGGAATCCGTGCATCCGAGCGTCCCTGGAAGAAGTTCCGGAGATTACGACGAGCGATCGAGATTCAAAATCGGGAGTGTCGATTTCGAGAAAGACGATTGCGACGCGATCTCGCGAATGCGCCGATAAAGCGGCACTTGGACACGACGCGGAAGACGACTGTCCGCAATTCGCCGATTCCAGCGGGAGGAAAGAATCGTCTGCGACGAGAGACGGTCGACCGGCGGGCGCCGGAAACCCTTGGAATATCCTCACGTTCCCACGCGCCGCTACATCGCTGGATGAAAGACGAAAAGCTACGGGATCACCGAGACCGGGAACGAGCGCGGGTCGTTCGCGCGAATCCGAGAAAAAATTGGAAGCTTACCCTGCACTCACCGTGTTCCCATTGTCGGGCAAACGTCGCGCGGATAGGGAGGCGGCGGGCGGGAGGTCAAATTTGATTTCGGTGAGCTCCAGCGAGATTGCCAGCATCCCCAGCGAATCCAGCAGACGCCGGGAGGACGAAACGTCGTGCCGCTCGCGCGAGTCATCGATCAGTCCCAGAAACCGCGGTGGCGCGCCGTCGTCGCGTCCCCCTTGGATGTCGGGGAACCGGAGCACCTCCTTCAACCGGAAATACGGCGGAAATATTACGGAGATTTCCGCCGCCGCGAGGGCTGCGGGACCGACGTCGGCGCGCGGAAGTGGTCCGCCGGGACAGAAATCGACAGTCCCGTCCGGAAGACGTTCGATGGAATCCTCGACGACGTCGACGAGCCGTAATCCGGCGTTGTCCCGACGAGCGGCGAGTTTCGTTGCGCCGCGGGAAAGAGAATTCACCGGGATGACGACCGAGCGGCAACGCGGGGAGAATTTCACGACACGGCTGCGAAGTAAATCAAAGGATGTCGGAAGCGTCGTCACGCTGGAGGATAATGAAGAGGAACGAACCTCCAAGACTACCGATCCGCGCCCCCCCGGGGAAAAAATGTCCGCCGGCGGAGCGGCAGCGATCTCGACAATGCCCGACAATGCCGCCTCGTCGTTTTTGTCGTCGGCAACACGAACGCCGCTGGGTCGGCCGAGGAAGCGGTCCGGGACGAGCGCTTTCTTCGCTAATGCACCTGCAACTGAAAGCGAAACCTGGAGCCCGACAAAGGAGCCGGAATTAATAACGAGCCGATCCGGCATCACCGACGACGTCGCCGCGAGAGGAAGACCGCGATCTGGGAATAATGCGCCGACGAGACCCCTCGACCCCGAGTCGCCATCCGTGGTAGATGGACGGGAGAACCGGACGAAATTAAATCGCGGCGAAGGAAGGCGACTACGGCGGTTAAGAAGCGCGGAGAATCCCTCGAAAGGCGCGCCGCTAAGCCCGCAGATTGAATTATCCGCCGAAGTGTTAAGCCCGGCCGACGATACCGATAAATCCGCGATCCCCGACAGCGAGAAATTCACCGGGCTTACGTCCCGGATCGATTCGCGGGAGAATGCAGGAGCGGCCCGGAGAAGCGGCGAGATCCGAGCTAGGCGGACGAGGACGGAGAACAGCGTGAAGTCTAACGTCGGCAGCAGCGACGTCGCGCGATCGAGAGTGCCGAAAATTACGCGGAATCCGCGAGCGAGACCCGCCGCCAGCATGAACGATCTTTCCGGGAAGAAGCGCGGATCGGTCGCGGACGTCGCTACGGCACCGCGGGATGCAAATTCCGAGACGAGAAGCGGATTAAACGGCGTGAAATTGAATCCTCGATCAAACGGCACGGCCGACGACGAAATGGGACACGCGGATGAATCTCCGCGCGAGCGCGACGAGGAATTGCGGCTTCCGCGACACGATTCGAAAATAGGACTCGCGATGAATTTCGCCCTGAAGAGATATATTAAGATGCTGAAAGAGGGCCTGCGGGATCACGGCGACGAGGACGGCGTCGCTCTGGCCTCGCTGAGCCTCTCCGACGCCGTGTCCATCCTGTCGGAGCAGAGAACGCCGCTGTCGCCCGAGGAGATACAGGAGCTGCAAGCCGTATTGGATCGGATCGAAAGAAATCCCGAGTTGTTGTGCAAACTGTCGTACTCCAGCGTGGAAAGCGTCGCATGAAAATATCATATCTTGTTGATACACCGACGTTAATATTTACATCATGTTTTAATGTAATTAGTCTTTGTTACAAAACGATTCGCAGTTACGGTTCGTTGCACACTAAGCCGGGCGTAACGAATTTTCAAATGTAAACTCGTTTAAATCGTAACGGTGGGAGTTGAGAACAAAAGCGCCGCGCGAAATAATTGGCAAACAGATAAAATCGCGATCGACGTTTATATTTCTGCTGGCGTTATTATTATCGCCAAATTGCATGTGTACCATAATAACAAACGTTAAATACGATTGGAAATAGCGCGATTTTCGCGGACGCGACAAAACTCCTTGCTAAAATCCGGCAAAAATTGAAAACCGACGGACAATTAATGCATTCGCGATCACGACAATTGATATATGATATTTTTACGAGATACGCATTTTTTAATATCGTTTTTACTATAATATATAATTTGTAATTTCGGTTAACATGATGCTTAACTAATATTCTACATTTTTAATCTAGCTTTTTTTCAAAAGAATTGTATAAATCATAAATTGAAGAATAATAAAATTAAAAACCGACAAAGAACTCATGCATTCGCGATCACAATTTTTATTTTAGCTTACTAAATACGATTCGTAATCTCGTGACACTCTCATAAAATTTTATTTTCTTTACAAAAAAAAAAAATAATATAATAATATGTGTCACTTTATGTAACACTGTTACGCGAATGCAGCTTTAATAAATATCGCGTTTACCGTAAATGTAATTTATATTTATGGATGGTAAACTAAAGTTTTTTTTTTTTAATTTTCTTTTAAAACGAACAATATAACAATTTCAAGAATAATAGAATAAAATTGAAAATCGACAATGAATTAATACATTTGCGATTACAACAGTTTTTTTTTTTTATTTCGGTGTTTACCGAATTTATATGTTATATTTATTTCACGATAGCAACAACTAATATTTTCGCACATTTTTATTCCCTTTTAAAAAGATTAATATAATAATATATTACTTCGCGCGCGCAACAATAATATTCCGCAACTGCAATAAATATATTGTACATTCGGTGGTCATTCACTGGTGCAACTTACAACGAGGGCTAACATCTGCATCGTAACAATAGACCGACGGCTAAGTGCTGTTGGCGCACTACGAAGTAGTTAATGAACAGCTCGAACAGACGTCCCTCTCTCTCTCTTCGCCTGGTGTTGCCAGCATGATTTACATACGCCATGGTTTGCGGCGCAATCTCTTAGGCGTGTTAGCGCCACCGCTTGCTAATAAGACATAAGGAGAAAAAGGAGACGCAATGACAATGCGCGGGCTGGAAGCGATTTCCGGGCCTGAACGACGACCACCTACCAAAGACGAAAGTGGGATTGTCATTGATGACTTCTGTACATCTCCTGTTGCTTTTGCAAATACAATAATAGCAACGACAACTATGGTAATAGTAATGACGAATGGAATTAGAGTAGATTGATTTATCACAATCTCTATAATTCCACCTTTCTAAAATCGAATTCTTATTTGGAGACTGTTGCGCGCAAACACAAAGCACCACCTCTGCTTTATTCATAAAATCTGATATTGGAAGCCACCGTTACAACGTTGTCAAAAGCGTCGAAGTAACGTGGAACATCGACGTAATATACTTTAATCCCCTTCCGTATACCCTTTGATGCATCAGGCTTTCAGTGTATCTAATCAATCTTGGTAATCTGACGTAGATTGACTTCATATGATTAACGACTGTGTATACCCGGTACTTGGAAACTTTTTGTTTGCCACTTTTACTCTCCTTCACCCCCCCCCCTCTCTCTCTCTCTCTCCGCTTTCCCCATTCGCTTTTTCGTAACGACTCCCCCTGCATCTGCATTCCGACAGCTTGGCTTACGACATCGGCGGCGACTTATCTGACTCATTTACTTAAAAGCCAACGTCAGTTAAGGCGATTCGGTAACTAATTACTATTACAATCGAAGCTTTCGATGCACCTTGAAAATTCACGTCGCATGATTACGATGACTTGAGAGATCTTTATTACGCGAAAGTCCTCTTCGTCTCATGAAAGTTATATAATTAACTCTTGAATGCCTTTTTGATACGACATACTTGGTTTTTTTTCGAAAGCCTTTCCAGTTACTTGTTTAATTGTTTTTTTTTTTTATTAGTAAAGATGATATATTTAACAAATCAATTAAAGATGACTCTTCGAAAGTTTCATATAATAAGAATAATAAGGCTAATAGAGAGTCCTTTCAGCTGTTATTGGTGCGATATATAAGATATGTTAAAATGTGAATACTACGTAAGTAGTTACCCCCCCATTGCGCACCGAACGTCCGTTGAACTTAAAACGCAACTCTAATCAACTACCGTAGTAATATCACAATTATTTTTTTGATGCATTTAGCATCTAAAAATGGATCTTAATAATATGTTGAAAGACATATTAAATTCTTAAATTATAATATTAAAGTAGAAATAAATCTGAATCTAAGAAAAAACGATGATATATTTACTTTTAGTACCGTTCTCAACAATGTTTGATATTTCGATTGAAAAAAAGCTTAAAATATATATTCATTTTTGTGGAAGTGTTATAAGCAATCGAATTGGGTTGAGTATAGCCATATCGATCTACTTTTAGTATGTGACTGTTCCCATAGTGTAGCATTTAAGGATTATGCTGAAGCGGCAAAATTATATTCATAGGGCTATTTAAGTATGAATTAGGTACGTTGAATGTTAAATTTGCTGCTAAAAATCTTTATCCAGAAGAAACCAAAGTGCGCTTTCTTTACTCTTCTTGTATATTATAGACGATATCTAATTTTTACAGAATGAGAAAGTTATTATTACAATAGTGATGCTGACGCAGCGTCATATTTCGTTCGATATTTCGAACATACTATCGCAAGAAATACACAATGAAACAATGAATTACAACAAATCTTACTTAAAGAGAAGCTGCGAGATTTGAAAAATAGACCCCTATTAGCTGTAAAGGTTAGGAAACATTAAAAATATCTATCGCGAAGATAAAAGAGGCCATTCCTTTGGCTTCGAAATAATATTTCTGGTTACGTATATATATTGCGCACGTCGACGAGACTCGATAATAGAGAAACGTGTGTTCTCAGATCGACATTCGGGCCGACAACAATACCACCCCCTCCGGCAGAAATGGGAGCAGCAGCTGCAGCAGCGGCAATATCGGCAACGCGCCACGAGGACCGATCACGTAGTTTCGCTACCGACTCATTACGGCGCGGGCCGCGTCGAGACTAGAATATTGCCGCCTCGGCATGAATGCTGCACGTAAGGGCTCGTGAACGACATGTAATAGGCGAACGTAAGTTAACTCCGCCAGTCCCCGAGGAAAGGCTGTCGTGTAAATCGGCACCTGCGAGCGCCTGCGTGTACTCACAACTGGTGTGTATGAAGATCGATTGCTGTAATTAACTCCGCGAGAGCGTAGCCTAAAAGAAAATGATGTAATACGGCACTTTGTAACCCGCGGCACTGGTATTTTCGTTTCGTAAGCGGTGGTGTACTTTATCTTTCTTTGCACGATTTTTCAATAAAGGATATATGAACCTATTAATATGATTGTAGCATACGTTCGCGGAATCGTCACATTTTTCCAAAGGATTGTGCATTAATTATATGGAAAATTGGATCTCTGTAGAATTATTGGGAGTAGAAATTAGTTCGATCCGTTTTCCAAAAGATGATCGCCTCCAAAGGCGAGTCATTTTTTCGAGATGGAATTTGAAAATTGCCTGAGAGATGGGAAAAAGTAGTAGCCAGCAATGGATTATTGTCCATTAATCTGTCCATTAATTAATCTGTTCATTCATTTTGTTTTGAAATAATTGCATTTTTGAACACAAAAAACGGACCGAACTAATTTGTACAATAATTAATTTTTATACATATATTATAGCTTACTTATTATATGGTAACAAAAAAAAACGCTTAATAATGGATAATTTTTAAGCAATTGTGCATCAAAATCTTCCCAGACAGCATATATCCAAAATTGGAACACGAGACATCTTTAAGACATCATAAATGTCTTGTATCTTTATTTTGGATATGTGTGTTTTCTGAGTTGCACCTTTGATTCACCATAGCATAAAAATTATGCATTATTTTGTTTTTATAATGTCTTTTCTTCATCACAGTATAAGCTCCATTATGTTATATGTAAAAAAAAGTAACTCCCCACAAATAACAAAAAATTCAAAGTTGAGATATAAATTTAGATCTACAACCCTATTTTAAGAGACTGCAAGTCGTAAAGCCGCAAAAAATTGACCAATCTTAGACGATGATGCGAAAAATAATTGACTGTGATTGGTCAATTTTTTGCGGCTTACAGTCTCTTAAAACAGCTAAGGTTGTGGACGTCTTATAAAGATGCCTTTAATGGGCCTTCTACAATAAGCCATTACTTAAGTTTTAAGTGTTAAATCAGAAGAAATTTACCAATCACAATCGAATGTGAGAAGAATAATGGACTGTGAGTGGTCAATTTCTTATGACTTAATACTTAAAACTTAGGTAATAGCTTATTGCAGAAGGCCTATTAGACGTCTTCAAGATATCTTATGTCTCGTCTTGGACATGTGTAGTGTCCGAGTCATTCCATTGGGATCCAATTTTCCATATAATTAGTGCATTTCTTTTTGAGACACTTCAGAACTTGTACCTCGGTCAATGACGTCGCGACAGTAGATTATTTTCGCATAGCGAAGTAGATCAGCCACGGAATAAATCTGACGTCGTCAATAATACCGTTTAAGAGTAGATAAATAGAAAATAAGAGAGTCCGCGCGAACCATCGCGACACGGCATGCGACACGATTGTTTTAATAAGCGACATCAGTAAAATCGTATAACGAAGCACACATTTGTCATGTAATAACAATAATAACGCGTACCTGCGGCGGCCGCACCGAACCGCGACGGTTCGCACAGATTGCCCGGCGATTTTTTCTTTGTAATATACATACGTACATGTATATGTATACACGTATATTTAATACATAAATTTTATACATCTATATTAATATACGTACGATGACAATCGATCGTTATCGTAACAATGATATGCGAGTGACGGTAGAGGAATATTAATAAATAGTGAACGAAATATCTATCTATCTTCTTGCGCTACCGTATAGACATGAGGTCGGATCGCACTCTGACGGGGATAATTTCGAACCGGAATGTTTAAGTTTCATATGCGACTCTACGTAAAAATGATTATCTATAGGTGTATGAAACTTCGAATTTATTTGAATTCAAAGAGAAATCAATTTAAAAGGAGACTATCTTTCAAGATGCTATATTAAGTTATTTTACTCTTTAAAATATTCAGTGCGATCTTATAATATAATATGGCGCGAAATTATACCCGTATGTGCGATCCGAACTCATTTTATGGTAGTCCACTTCTCCATCGTCCTTTGCGTTATACTAGCTATACGCCACGATATTTCGTCGTTTAGTGAACCGCATTCGAGCGCCGTGATTATTAAACACGCCGATTGCTACCAGCTTACATAACGAGCGCTATTAATTGATCAATGACGCAGACGTGGACAATTGTTGGTTTCAACGCGAGCGCGTATTAATGAGAGCGCGTATACGAACGCACGAATCTCTCGTTGTCAGTCTCGAGAGTGAAGGGTAACTGATAATCATTTACGACAAGAAAGAGGACGACGACCTCGTAATTGGGAAGCTTTAAGAAGGCAGAATTTCTGTTGCTCGCAAATACGCGTTTCGCCTGTGACAGAACGTTGTAATTAGACGGCAGTTAATTATTCGACGCGCCAACTCTGTAAACAGACCTCTCGCAACTGTACCTCGCGGAATTACACTTTTCATTTCTCGCACCTCGAGAATTTATTATTCGTCATTTAATATAAAACATGGTTGAAAAGAAGAAAGACAAACGATAATTTCGCAATGATTAGTAATTTTTGCTAAACAATCGAAAAATTTGCGAACGTTCTCGTAACGATGACAAAAACATTTGGAGAAATGTATGCGATTAACTTGTTGTACTGTAAGAGAAAAGCAATATCAGTTAAAAATTGTAGTTACTTCATTCGGTTAGCGAAACGTATCGCGAAACATTAACAAGTTAGCTCTATAATACCAAAGTTGTGTGAAATATACACGGTTTTGCGAATTATATAACGAAATGTACATGGGTTTACTGAAGTATCTAAAAATTCAGCTGGATACAGAGGAAACTAATTTTGTCGAGTTACCAAATTAATGTACGACACTCGAGCACGACGAGTAATGCTGCAAGTTTTGACACTCTAACAACCAGCTTGAACATCGCTATACGTAATTATTTTGACGGTCCAACAAAATTGTTTTTCAGATTTGTGTTTAGTTAAATTTTTCGGCGCTTTGGTGTGAAACTGTTCTTTCCACGTAAGCGATATTACATACTGCACTTGTTTCATTGCGGCACTAGCGATTGCGCGATTGACGATTGAGGATTCTTTCTCAACCAATCGGAGCAAAGCAGTCACCGATTGCTTTGTTCCGATTGGTTGAGAAATAATTCTCAATCATCAGTCACAATCGCTCAATCGCTAGGGTGATTACGGCTTAAGGGGGAAAACGCACCGAGAAATTTCGAAAATTATGAATTTTCGTGTTTTTGCTTTTCTTCAAGCTTAACCTCTTAAGAATGTCTGGTGAAAGCCGCATGCAAAAATTCGAAAAAATAACGGAGTTAGGGCTCAGTCAGACGAGCGATTTTGTAGCGCCACAAACGTCGACCCGTTCATACGGAGCTATTTTCTGGTGCTACAGAAAAGCGTCGCGAATATGTTCACATGAGCCAATTCGTGACGCGACGAAAAACGTTGCGGACTTGCGGATGCGTTCAGATGGATGGACCTGGCATGGATGATTCTATGTAAGTTGAAGAATTTTGCGATTTATTCATTGCTCAACTTTCAAACGCGTTTTTCTCGAAATCATGTTTTTGAAGTCGGTACGCAAGATATCTGGAAAACTAATGAACCGATTGCAATTATCTTTTTTTGTGCTTATTCTATACATAATTACCTAGTCTTTGTCATAGGGTTTTTTTTTTAGTGGCTTAGTTTTTTTTTAATCGGCGAAATAAGGTCGTATTTTTCTCTAAAAATCGCTATGTAAATTCAAATGTCCGCCATTTTGTCAAAAATCGATATTTTCAAAATCGCCTATGACAAAGACTAGATTATACTGTCCAGTTTAATAATCTTTTTGGTTTTTTTGATTTTGATGATTAGAGATGAAGCAGGAGTGCGTACCGCGGAGGGCCTTTTATTTGCGGCACTTCACGGACCACAGGATTACTCGGCGAATATTGGATATTTTTCAATAAAAAAAAATTGACATATTCTTAAAAATGTGTATTATCATTTATAAAAAGAATCGGTTTGATTACTGCTATAGGTTTCCTTTCAAAAAATCCAGAAAAATGGTTTTTTTTCGCGCTTCTCGGTGCGTTGTCCCCCTTAAGACATTTTAAAATTTCTCAAAACCAAACGCTGATGAAGCGACGATAGGCCGATAGCCAACATTCGTGCTTCTCTCTCTTTCTTTTTCCATTTATACTTTTCTCTCTATCAGTATATGATTCACAAATGTCAGCCTCAAATTACGACAATTTCCGTGACTTAACAGGGCCACATTCCACGTCAGTTCGCTGGGAATATCAGCGTGCGCGTGTGATTTTGACGGCGCGTTGCGCGTTGATCTTCCATTATCTGGTCTTGTCAGTGGAATGCACATATTCGGCAGGAATCTTGTCGCGGGCAAGAAATAGGGTGGCAGATTCGCCTCGCACGCGAGACAGCCGCGTTAATTGCTACGGAATATATTCGCGAGGCACGTTATGTCACACGGAAGTTTATCGGGAACGTCGCACGACGACGTAATCGGCGCCCGTTAATTTCTGTTCAACGTACGGCAGGGATCGATAACGCGATCCCCCCCCCCCCCCCGCGTAATGCGGTTATTAACGTATTGCTGGTATGTATAGCTGGTAGCCTGACACCATCTTCCCCATGATCGCAATAAAAAATTGCGTCAATATGGTGGTTAGGGGGAGAAGGCAGGAATGCACCGCCGCGATAGCCGTTGATCAACAAAATTGGAGGCTTAGCTTCCAACGCGAAAATTTTACAGGAATTTTACACGAGCGATATAACGCGAATTTTATACGAGCTAGAGATCCTATAACAAAGCCTGGCCACGAGCGATTTTGTCGAAATCCTGCGAGAAAGAAAGATATATACTGTCTCTCTCTGTGTGTGTGTGTGTAAACCATCTCACTCTGTAAGCTTGATTAAAGTTATGGAATGAGATAATAGAAAATAAGAGAGAGATTCCTATTTTCGGTCAAAGCGAATTTCGATGCTGATAATATTCATGTGCAAGTTTGCAGATATATTTTTCAATTCCATAAACTGCGCGCCGCTTTGTTCGTCGGACTCCAAATGCAATTATAAAACTGGAAATTATAGGCCTGCATTTTGTTTTTTTTATCAGAGAGCACCTGGTGTATACGGCGCAATAAGTTGAAATGAAACAAATACAAGTTTCTACATCCATTC